TTTCGCGCTCTTCTTTGCCTGCAGAAGGCTCTTGCGGACGAAGCGCGCGGCCCATCCCCCGGCAAGGTGGCCCTTGCCAGGCTCGGCGCCCACCTCGCGCCACAGCCAACGCACGCGCGCAGCCTCGACAACGCGCGCGAGGGCGTGCTTGCCCATGACCATCACGTCGAGGGGCATGCCGCGGTCGTCTGTCCAGCTGCGCGGCCCGCAAGCGTGCCAGCCCAGCCGATGGGCGGCCAACAGCGAGGCGGCGGCGGGGCCACGGCCTGCCAGAGCGTCGGGCCCACGGCTGTCGAGTACCGCCTGCGCCTCCACCATGGCCCATCCCAGCGCGCGGCGGTAGATGGCGCTCGCGTCAGCCTGCAGCCCCTTCGCCCACGCCGCCAGCGGCTTCAGCGCGTGCTCGCACCACGGGTCGTGGCACGGGTGGCGGCCCAACAAACACCCGAGCGCCTGGAAACGTCCCGCGCCCTCGCCAACCACGACGGCCGCGACCTTGCTGCGCCATCTGCGCAGCTGGGCAGCGGGCCCACGCCCTGACCGAGATGCTGTAGGAAGCGGCAAGCCGAAGCCCGCTGTTTGCCAGCAGGGTGCCCGCTGCGACGTCGACGTCGGCTGTTCGCACGGCCTGCACGCGCCCCAGTTGCTCCGTCGCGTTCGCCAGCCTCCGCTGAGCGACGGGCATCGCCGTCCCCGCGAAGCCAAAGTCCACCCCGAGGTTGTGGTGGCTGCGGGCGACGGTGAAATGGCCCCCGTCGATGCGCCTGGCGATCTTGGCCCCTCAGGTCCGCAGTGCTGGTGACGATGGCCATTCTCTCACGGCTCACGACCATCTGCAGCGTCCTCTCCAAACCATCGAGGAAGGAACCAGCCGCCTCCCCCAGCTGGCTAACGATGTCTAGCAGGTGGCCCTCCATGAACAACAAGCAATCATCGACCATGATGCAAACATGGTTGTGCGCCCAGGCCCGACGGTGAGCCCCGTCGACGCGGGCGAGCACGCAGCCGAGCACCGTGTTGGCGTGCACGTCGCCAGCGATCAAGCCGCCCCCGTAGACGAAGACCTCGCCGACGAAGCAGCCCACCATGACCTGCCTCGGGCCACCGTAGACCGCCAGCGTCGCCTGCAGCAGCGCCTCGGGAAGCCCTCCTGGAGGGCGCGGTCGCGGGCGATCTCCAGCAGCACCATCGCGTAGCACTTCTCGAGGTCCACCAGGAAGCGCGCGCATGCCCGATCCCTGGCCTTCGCCGACTCCGTCATGAAGTCCTGCCTCCAAACAGCCTGCTTCGCTGCCTTGCCAGTGCCGCCCCAGAAAGCCTGAGCGTCCTCGGGGTCGAGCGCGGCCCCCCGCGCGTCGGAGTAGGGCTTGCGCAGGCGCGCCCACCAGAGCGGGAACCCGCAGAGCAGCCCAATCGGGCAATACCCGCCGCCAGGCCTCGGCAGCATGGCGACTAAGGAGCCCCAGGCGGGCCCGGACGCGCCGCCCAGCCGCTCGGCCGCCATGCCTCGGTGCAGGAGGCACTCGACGAGCTCGTCCGAGAACCAAGCGACCTGCCAGGGCCCGAGCCTGTTCGGCCCCAGGCCCGTGGCGCACGCGGACGTGGTTGCCGCCTCGCGGGACGTTCGCACTGCCTGGCGAGCGAGCTCCGCCGCCTGGCGGCAGAGGCCGCCGACTGGGACCGGCCGCCGCACAGCACCCCGGCCGCTCCGAGGGGCCTACCTCTCGGGGGTTGCTGAAGATGCCCCTGGCCCAAGTTGCCCCCAGCTTTTCGCTCAATGTGGGAGCCCCTGTAACCCTCCGGGCCGCGTGAGAGGTGCTCTGGAGGCCGTGGAACCTCCTTGGATACCCTGGGGACACCTTTGACCAGGGCTACTTCTGGCAACGCACGACCCTCCTGGTGGATCCAGAGCTTGTCGCTTGTCACCCCCTTAGGGCGGTCACGGCGTCGGGCCTTGACGCCTGCGGGCTGGGCGTCGGCAGTGACGTCGGGCGTCCAACCCCGGCGGGGGCCCTGAATGAGCTTGTCGCCATCGCTGAAGGAGCCCTGCGCCCACTTCACGAAGCTGGCCCTGGAGCTGTTGGAGAAAGCGGTTTGCTTCTTCAAGGGCGCCCTCGAGGGCTCGAAGTTATTCGCGTTTCGCGGTTCGGCTCCAATTCCTCTTCCTCATCCTCATCTTATCCCCTGGGAGGCGGCGCGAGAGCGCGAAGTTACTCGCACTTCGCGCTTCGCGGAGCGCGAAGCGCGACGTTGGGAGCCCGTGGGGCCAGCGCGGGAGACGCCGCTGATGCCGCTGGCGCCGAAGGAGGGATGCGCCAGCATCGACTCCCGCGACGAGCTGGACACGGCGCACGCGGAGGTCATGGCGCAAGCCGAAGGCCGCGCGGTACAGCTCGGGAAAGCGCACCGCTGTCGGGGCACGGAGCCGTGGTGCGACCTGGGCCGCCCGCGCGGGGAGCACGCAGGTCGGCTGCGGCCCAAGGGCCCGATTGAGGCCAGGCTCTGCCCAGCCGCCGTCGGCTGCATGGTGCAGCTGGACTTAGGTCGGGCCTGTCCCCTACAGGGGGATTTTCGACGAAAAATGAAAAATACCCCAAACATAATAAAAAGACAATCCAAAAATAGTCTGGGGACTATTATTTGAATATTTTTTGACCTTCTTGGGGTATTTTGGGGGTATTTTTATTTTGTTCGTCGAGAATCCCCCTGTAGGGGGACACGCCCGACATAAAGCTGGACGCGGCCCCTGGCCGCGCGCACTAGCCGCAGCGGCTGCGGGACCTGCCAGGGCGGTGGCGCGGCCGCGTTCGCGCGGCGGGCCGGCGGCTCACGACATCCAGGAAGCTCGGGCAGGAGTGGGCCGCGGAGGCGGGAGCGGGGGGGCCCAAGAAGCAAGGGCCGCCGGGCGGGAAACGCTCGAGGTCCAACGAGCTGCCGCTGTTGCGGCTCGGGACCCCAGCAGTCGAGGTCCAGGTAGGCCTCCGAGTGCGGCCGGAAGGGCCCGTCGATGCGCTCGCAGCCCCACACGTGGTGCTGCAAACACTGGGAGATCACGAAGGGGTTAGCCCAGCTCGCTGGAATTGACGTGCTCCGCGTCGAAGAAGCACGTGCCATCCCCGCCGTCGACGATAGCCAACTCAAGGCCCTCCAGCCACGCCTGCACCCAGCGCGGGGGGCGCCGCCGGGTTCCAATCGCCACCGATGATGACGGGTCGCCCCGGGTTGATGATGGTGGTGCCGATCCCATGCCCCCCGGCCGTGAGTTGGCCGTGTACCGCCTGGGGCATGTACGCGGACATCGCCAGTACGCCAGCATGGCGCGCCCCCTCGACCAGCAGGGCCGTAGCCCGCGCCGGCATGACGTGCCGCGATCCCCCGGCGCCTGGCTCGCAGGCGCCGCGGGGGGCGGGGACGACCACGCCAGTGCCGCTAGAGGCCGCCCGCGTCTGCGCCACCGCGACGCTCGAGCCCTCCTTGGTGATTCACGCCATGAGGACACCGCTCGCCATGTGGTTGCGCATATACTGCTCCTCGGGGAGAATATTCCAGCCAGCCAGCCGTGAAGCTGGCGCTCTTGCGCGAGCCAGCAGTCGGCCCGATGCGAGGCCATGGTGCCAGGCTCGGTCCACATCGTGGTCAGTGGGCCCAAGCCGATGCCGTTGGCGGAGGCCACATGGAAGCGCCCAGGCCGTGCCGAGCGGGCACCCCGCTTGCCTCCCCCAGCCGCTGGACGCTGCACGTCCGGGGTCGGCCCAAGCTCCTCGCCATCGCTGGTGCCCTCTTCGTTGGATCCGTCCGAGTGGATCGATCTCCCCCCCCCCACTCCGACAAGTGCCACCCGTTGAAGTCTTCGACTGGCATGCCACGCGCGTCAGCGAGGAGCATCCCGCCCTCCACCCCTGCGGCGGCCTCAGCAGGGTGAGGCGCGGGCCAGGGCGCGGCGGCGCTCGCGACGGGCACCCAGCTGGCCATCGTCAGCGCCCACGTCCAGGCTCAGTTCGGCCAGTGTCGGCCCGTGTCACGTCCAGCTCCTCGTCGGTGAGTGGGCCCCGCGGGCCGACCCCCCGCGGCCTGGCCGCCCGCGGGCTCTGCTGGCAGCATGGCCCCGCCTGGCGCTGCCACCCCTGGCCCCCGCAGCGGGCCTGGGGATGGGCGTGCCCCCTGCGCTCCCCCCCTCCCTCCATCCCTCCTCCCACATCCTTGTCTTCCTTCGCCTTATCCCCTTCCTCCTCCTGCGCCACCTTCTCCTCCTCCTCCTCCTCCTCCTCCTCCTCCTCCTCCTCCTCCTCGGTGGCGGGGCGAGGAGGAGGAGGCCCCGCCAGCGGCTGAGAGCGATCCCGCAACCTGGATGGGCTCGGCCAGCTGGTCCTGGAGCCCCGCGATCGCCTGGAGGCGATGTCCTGGCGCCCCGCGATCGCCTGGAGGCCCCCCAGCAGCTTGCCGCGTGGCGGGGCCCCCGGCCGGCAGCGAGGGCCCACCCGTGCGTCTGCCGAGGAGCGCCCGCTGCTCCTCGAGCGCACCGACCTCGGCCTCGGCGTCGACCTGGGCCTGGCGCGCCTTGGCCGTGCGCTCCTCCAGCTTCTCAGCCTGCGCCGTTTTGCGCGTGGGCGTGCCGTCCAAGGCCCGCAGCCGCCGTGACAAGGGCTCAGACGCGCGGCGGGCCTCCAGGAGCTCGGCGAGCTGCTGCTCGAGCTGCTCCTTGGTCTAATGGGCCCCTGAACGTTGCCGAGGCGAAGGAGGCGATGGCCGCGCGGATCTGCTTCTCCTGGTCGGCCCCGGCGGAGCGGCGCCGTCGACGTCCATGGATTCGCCAGGCTGCTGGACAGTGGCGGCCTTCTCCACGGCGGGGAGCTTCTTCTTGGCCGACTCCCCATCCTTGGCTGCTGCCGGCTCCTTCTCCATGGCCGCGGGCGCTTTGGATAGGTAGTCGCCACGCTGCGGGTTCTCCCGCGCTGGCCGCGACGCGCGGCTCCGCCCGCCAGCAGGGGGCCAGCCAGGCG